ACTCTTGGATGGTTGCAACGCGATTAGCAACGAATGTGTTCAAGCTAGATGAATGCATTCGCAGCCAATGAAGCACCACCTCAGAGTCTGACCAAAATGTGACTTGATTAATAGGACAATCAAGTACTTTCCTTACCGCATCCCATAAGGTAGCTAACAATTCTGCAGCACACAACTCCAGCCGCGGAACAGATTTTGTTTTCAAGGGCGCTACCTTAGATTTAGCGACTAGCAGCCTGGTAGTGATACCCTTATCTGTTTGCATTCTTACGTATAAACAACAACCGTAAGCTCTCGTTGAGGCATCAGCAAATCCATGGATTTGACATCCTTTCGATTTAAGTGTGCCAACGTAACGAGGTATATGCAACGAGTTTAGATTTGAGAAACAGCTAGTTACTGCCTCAAATTCTTGCCTCATTTGAACAGGCAATTGGTCATCCCACCCAAGTTTGTGCAACCACATTTCCTGTAAAAGGACCTTCGCACGAGTTACGATCGGACTTAACAAACCTAAGGGGTCGTATAACCTTGCTACAAATGACAAAACGGATCTTTTGGTCTGTTGAACTTCTACTGGACAGTTCATGGAATATCTAAAGCTGTCATTCATTGGATTCCAAATTAATCCCAATGTTTTTGTGTCCTCTTGATGACCAATAACTATATCGTTTCTAGCTGGTTGTGCTGCGAGTTGTTTACAATTGGACGACCATTTTGTGAGAGGAAATCCAAACTTTTGAAGAATTGCGATCAAGTCTCGATGCAACAAGCACAATTCTTCGACGCTATCTGCTCCTGTCAACAGGTCATCAACATAGAAATCTCGGGCTAACGATCTTGCAGCAGCTGGATGAGTGGAAGCATGCAAGTCGCTTAGATGTTTTAAACATCGAATTGCTAAGAATGGAGCAGTCGCTGTCCCGTACGTTACTGTGTTTAATCGAAAGATTTGTAACGGATCAGTGGGCGTTTCCCTCCACACAATAAGTTGAAAGTTGCGGTGGGACTCGTCAAGTTCAATTTGACGGTACATTTTAGCGATGTCTGCTGTAGCAGCCCAAGGACGAAGTCGAAATCTTAGCAAAGTCTCCCATAACTGCGGCTGGATGGTCGGACCCACCATGAGTAGATCATTCAGCGACAATTGAGAGGAGGACTTGCTAGAGGCATCAAACACTACTCGAAGTTTAGTGGATGCGCTGTGCGGTCTTAGCACGCATTGATATGGGATGAAATAATGCGGCTCTCTCGGAATTTGATTGTTAGTTGGGCTCATGTGACCCAAGGCCAAGTATTCTTTCATAAAGTCAATATACATTGGCCGAATGTCTTCTTGCTTGCTCATTCTTCTTTCCAAGGCCAGAAATCGTCGCTTGGCTGTGTCGTAAGACGTACCAAGACAATGTGGGCTTGATTTGAATGGCAGCGACACTCTGAAACGACCCGAGGTAGTTTGGCAAATAGTCTCCACAAATGACTTCTCGCACAGTTGTTGCTCTGGGGTATACAAATTCGAATTAATTGTATTTGGCTTTTCTTCCAACTCCCAGAACTTGCGAACTATTGAATCTATAGCTATGTCGTCGTTTACGACGCTAATGAAAGTCGACGAACTAGTAGCTGCATTCAATGTTCGGCAGCGACCAGATACAATCCAACCAAAGGCAGTCAATTGCAATGTTGGGTTGTTATCGGATCCTTTTATTTTGCCTTCTCTTAATATATCAAAAAAGATATCAGCACCGAGCAACAAATCAATACGTTGCGGCTTGTGGAATTGAGGATCAGCTAATTGTACATTATCAGGTACCTTGATCTCTTCAGTGTGCTTCTCTGGTTGATACGACGAAATGGAACGTAACACACCAAAGTCTGTTCGGATTTCTATGTCGTCCGTTCGGGACGCTATCGAAGTTTGAACGCTGTGCCGAACAGATGACTGACAATTAGCAATGCCCAACAATTGAATCCCAGATCTTTGCCGTTTTAATTTCAACTGTTTTGCCAGTTCTTCAGTTATGAAATTTACTTGCGAGCCGGAATCTAATAAAGCTCTAGCTAAGTGATAAGATCCAGATTGATCTTTTATCTTCACAACTGCAGTTGCCAAAAGAACTTGATCAGAGGCTATCCGTGCGTGATTTACAGATGAAATCTGTGACGAAGTGACACGAGGGACTGCTGATACAACTGCTGAGCTACTTTGAGCCGCTTCAGAGCTGTATCTATGCAGTATGGTATGGTGCGGCTTAGAGCACACACGACAGTGGGCTGATTTGCAAGCAGCCACTGAGTGTCCTGTTCGCAAACAATTTATACAGAGCGGATAGCTCTTTGCGAACGTAAAACGTTTCTGGCAAGGTATTGCTGCGAACGACGAGCACGAGTGAATGAAGTGATCGTTCTTTTTACAAAACACGCATTTGGGACTCTGCGGCTCACTTGGCAGAGCGACAGCTAGAGAAGTTTTCCCAATTCTTTTCTTATTATCCTGAGCTACCTTACGACGTGGACCAGATGAGTCTTCAGCACTTAAATGCTGATACCGTCTGTTCAAGGCAGCTTCACAATCTTGCCACAATGGAAGCTTATTGTAGTCAAGATTCTCTTCCCACCTAGAGCGCGTGCCAGCGTCCACTTTCATCATTACCAAATGGATGAGCATGGCATTCGAAATCTGCTTATCAGATCCTAGCGATAAAAGAGATTCGTAAATGGCACGGACTGAGTCTATCAGCATGCGCAAAGATGATGCTGACGGTTCGGACATGTGTGGGAGATCAAATAGTTTTGAAATGCTGTTAAAAAATATGAGACACTGATTGTCGTACACATTTTTTAAAGCAGCTAACGCTTTTGGATAATTTGCATCTGTCACCTGATATGCCTTGACAGTGCCTAATGCTTCTTTGTCCAAGCATGACAACAAGTGGTTAAACTTTTCTATATTTGATAACCCTGGCTCGTTGTCGACTAAACTCTCAAAAAGTCCAATGAAATTCTTATATTCCGAATATTCTCCGCTAAACTTTGGCAGCTTTATATTCGGTAGATTCCTAGAATGTGACACTGAGCTAATCATTGTAGAGTTAGCGGGACTCTCACTTTTAGGTTGGCTATCACTACCTCGCTTCATAAGAAGTGCTTTTGTCGATACACACAAATCTTCTAACGTTGACCGAGGCACTAAATCTGCGTTAATGTCGTCCAACTCTTGTTGTGTCTTAAAGGCCTTTTCTATGTAGCGGTTCAATATCTCAAGTCGACATTCAATTTCAAATGGCTCTACTGGTTTAGTGTAATCTTTTAATGATTTATTAATGCGTGTTATGTCGTTTGTAACATTTTTGTAAACGGCCAACAGAGCTTCGACACGCTCTGATGATGACTCGTCCATAGACCTATTCTTTCCTCGCTTGTTAGTCATGATGCTATAAGTGATGCTCAGTTGAAACCAATTTCAATCGAAACAAATAAAAGTTCACTTAATGTATGACAACAAGCGAAGAGCAATTCAAGAATGTTAACAAATGCGCGCGATCGTAATAAATCTCAATATATTACGCTGGCAGTGTTAAACTATACTTGAGTGACTGTTACGATATAGCGAAGACAACAACCAAAATGTTGAGTGACTATTTGGGCAAGTGGTCTATTGAGTTATATTTGACTGTTGAGCGACTGAGTGCAATGCATTCATAAGCGAGAGCGCGCCGGTATGAATGCCAAAATATAAGTGCAGATCGAGCTCATACAATGAGCGCAAAGCGAGAGTGCAAGTTTTGAGCGCAAAGCGAGAGCGCTGCTGCGTGTGCAAGCGTGGGTGCAAACGATATTGCAAGTGAGTATGCAATGAGCGCAAAGTGAGCGCGCACTAATATGTGCAAGCGAGACAGTAAAACGAGAGCGCAACTATAAGTGCAAGCGCGAGTGCAAACGATATTGCAAGCGCGCATGCAAATGATGAGCGTAAATTAAAGCGAAATTTGCTGTGTAAGCGCGAGTGCAAACGATATAGCAAGTGAGTATGCACTGAGCGCAAAGTGAGCGCGCACTAATATGTGCAAGCGAGACAGTAAAACGAGAGCGCAACTATAAGTGCAAGCGCGAGTGCAAACGATATTGCAAGCGCGCATGCAAATGAAGAGCGTAAATTAAGAGCGCAATTATCTGTGCAAGCGAGAACGAACTTTTATGTGCGAGCGAGAGCGAGCTGTGAGCGCAAGCGCAAAACGAAAGTGCGAGACGAAAATGAGCAAAAAAACTGTAACACACTAGCGGCGCCAAAGAAAACTTGGATTATGCGAGGCAATAGAGATTGAATTATTTGCAGATCAAAGGTCAATATGCACCTTATTATTATTTTTATTTATTTTTTTTAAATTTCAATTTGAAATAAGCTCAACACAATGTACATAGGCGTAGATTGTACATACATTAATATTTTGTATGTCTCAAGTAATGCATTTATTTATTTATGGCTTGCATTACTTGGTCATCTATGTGCTCTATGTATTTATGTACTTCCCTGATTATCCACAAAATCCATAATCCAGCTTCCTTCAATTCCAGAGAGTGTCCACCCGGGGGCGCCAAAAATGTCCTTCCAAAAGGAGTCTGGTCCTTCGATGGCCAGTGTATAATATTTATAAAAAAAAGTAGACAGCAACTTGCGGTCTCTCTGAAATATACGAAGTGCTGGCACCGGTGTTCAATTTTGTACTGACTTTATTAAATTTAACATGAACGCAAGCGCAGCTTGCACAGTAGAGAGCGCACCTATGCGCATCTAACAGCGAGCAGCGAGAGAGCGATCTTTTGGAGAGCGACACTTCCGTGCTAGCGCGTACAATAACAACTTCTCTGTACAGTGGTTCAGCTTCAATTACTTAACCTATACAATTTCGATAATAATTCAATTAATAATTCATAATAATTCAATTTCTTATAATAATATAATAATATTTCAGAAGGCAAATATCCAAATGCCTTAACATATAATATAAATAAAATGAAAAACTGCTTGCTAAAAGTGAACTTTATAAGATCTTTATATTAAATAAAGACAAAATAAACAGAAATAAAGTATTTTATAATAATATAAAAATGTGCAAATATTTATTTAGTTAGTTATAGAGGCAACTTTATTGACAGTTCACAGTTAACAGCTATAAATTCATGGATCTTTAACATATAAGCTGATCGCTTGAATGGAATAATTGCTTACAATAGTTTGTCTTAAAAATAGTTAAGTAGCTTTAAAAATATATGATGACATATATAAAAAAAAATATTTATATATGTATATATTCTAATCAATATGTATGTATATATTAATTGCCGCTAGTAACCAAAGTTCAATGTCTAACCAAGAGTTTCATTCTTATTATAGACTCTATATTACATCAATTAATATATAGCATATCCAATCCAATCCAATCCACGTCAATCAAAGAATATCAAATTTTGTAGTCGTCGGGAGCGCGATGAGTGGCAAACGGCGCGTCGATGCGGGCAATAGAATTTGCGCAGGCAGCGCGAGAGTCGCAGATCGCACTGACACAAGCGAGCCGCACAGGAGTCGGGGCCACCCCATTCGCCGTGATCGATGGCGCACAGGGGCTTTCCCCGATAGCATTTCCACACATAGGGCACAAAGTACTCGAGGTAGGAGATGCAGTTGCTCTGGCCGTAGCACTTGTCGTGCAGACGGCAACAGCGATCGATGCCATCGTTGGGAACTCCATGGCCGCCAAAGCCGCAATAGCAGCCGTAGCCCTTGTAGATCAATGGATCACAGTTCGTGGAGCACTTTATCATGGAGTAGAGCTTGGCGATATCCCGTTTGCCTCGATCCCTTGGCGGTTCAGTCTCGTTACTCAATGACCACTTCATGGAGTAGCCAAAGGGATCGTTGGCGCGCGCTATATACACGTTCTCTCCATTCAGCAGATCCTCGAGCTGCGCCTCCGCCGGATTGGACGTTATCACACGTATATCGGTCACATGGCCATCCAGCTTTTGGGTCTTCAGATTCAGCAAAATTTCGGACTCTGGATAGCTCAGCTGTTGCTGCGCTGGCTCCCTGTGTGGGAAGATCTTCGATGGTTAAATGATTCCTTCTACATATACCAACCAATACCCACTTGTGTATCTGCTCCAACCACGTCTGCTGCTCCTGCAATTCACCCGTCCAGCCGGGCAAACCCAGCTGCTGCCATTCCTCCAGATTGGACTTGATTGCCGCTACTTGAGGCATCGCTGTGATATTGGGAAAGATTGGTTCCGCAAAGTCGGAGCGCTGCATTGTCAACAACTCAAAGCCATCGCGCTGCCCGTTGGGCATTTTGAATGTGAAGGTTGGATTCGCTTGATGCATGCTCGGTCCATACATTTCCGGTATTATGTGCTCCAGCAAGACGCTGTCATTGGTGACGCCTCTGAACGCACTCCATATGTCGTCCACAACCCTGTTCGCCTGACAGTGCACAGCCAGGAGCAGCACCAAACCCACCTGTACGATTGCCCACATCTTGTTATGCTCAATCAGACGCAGAGGCAGACGCGGGAATTGTGCGATCCGTCCGAGTCGAGCGGCAATCAGAAATTGAAACTGGTGCGCCAGCGAAATGCGGTAGTTGGCCATTGGCCGCTAAGTACCCAACAAAAGAAACCAAAACAAGACTGCTGCGGTCGAATACGGCCGAGCCAGAGATACCCTGTAAACGATGGTAAATGTAGTATATACAATTTGAATGATAGACATTATTCATATAGTTTTTTACCATCTCAAAAGGCAGTCTTGGAAATCAAACAGATTCCTCTGCCTATATAATCCAAATCCAGTATCCATTGATCCTTAAAGCGAGTCGCCTTAAAGCATCGATATACCCCTTAATCACTTGCACTGGGTATCATAAAAATGAAGCATAAATTGTTCAAAATCGTGTTAATAGCAATAATAACAATGGCCAGCAGCGACGCCAACGCCGACGCCGACTGCGATGACGGCGCCGACGGATTTGGTGTGCGAGAGGTAAACGCTTAAAACCAAATACACAAACTGACAGTGGCACAAATGCGATGCCGAATCCAGCGCCGTTAGGTGGGTCAGTAACCGTAACCCACATTGCGTAGACGCGCGAAAAGTTACAGTAAGCTCAGTGGGCGTGGCAAGTTAAGGCGAAGGTGAGCAGCAGCAGCAGCCCGCGTCGAGTTATAGCCAAGATCAGTTCATGGTCAACGTTTAGGGCTTTTAATTACCGCGAGCTGAACTACTTAGATGGCTCACAAGGGGGTGGGTGGATGATCACTTGGCCAAACAAAATTGGCATTAATGTGCGCAGCTTGTTTATGGTCTGCTTGTAAATACATAGCTAGAGTCATGTGCTCATACAAATACTCTCATAAATATGTTGTTTTTGTTTTATCTGTCTGCAATTACACAGGTAATTTATGGCGGCCGCCTGCAACGCCTTCGTTACGTTGGTTGCATGTTACGTGTGAGAGCAAAAGCAAAGCATTCACATAAAACACATCATACTTTCAAGTCGAAGTCGAAGTCGAGCGCAAATCAAGGTAAACATGAATGAAAATGGTCATGAGCAGACACATACGCATATATGCATATCGCAAATACAAGTGTTATTTAAATTATAGATTAAATTAATTAACCGCAAGCCATTAATAATAGCTAATCAGCGCTTTAATTAAACTGAGTTTATTATCAAAATTACTTTGGCGCGCAAAACTTGTTTCAGGTTAATGAATCGGTAAACAAATCGAGTATGCTGTTATCGGTTGAATCGGTTCATCAGTGCTGAAAAGTATCACAATCAGTTCTTTACAACACTTCTTGAAGTTATCGATAACTATCGCCTTATTTGAATTTCTTAAACAAAGAATTCAAATCCTAATTTGTTTACATATTTATCTATAAATCTGCAATCTACAGCAGCTGCATTTTTGACTATTAAAACATGCCCCCAGCCTTTGGGCTGCTCATATATGTATATGCCCAACGTACTTCCTCTCGCTTAGCACGCACCACTTAAGTTTACGTATCAAAGACAGACAAAACGCTTCAATAAATTGCATACATATTTTATTTTGATTCAATAAATCTGATTACTATTCTGGCTCGTCCGGCCGAATGATCTGTAAACATAGCACAAGTGTTTGCTGTAGCATCATCCTCGCGGGCAAACGGAAATGCCACGCATTGGAACAAGCATTTTCCAGCTGCCGCTGCCACTGCCACGGCAGTAGTCGTTCTGCTGGAACAGTATATCCAGTAAAGACGTCGCTGACCAGAGTTCAAGCTGCGTTGTTCTGCTTTGCTTTAATCGCTGCATTGTCATCTTCATTGCTGCTGGCTGCGATCGACCGACCGACCGACCGCTTACTTCTGCTCGCCTCTTTTCTACTTGCAATTGCCACCATAGAGCTTGTTGTTCTCCTTCTGGTTATGGCAGTCGTAGTTGCTGCTGCTGTTGTTGTTCTTGTTGCTGTTATTGTTTGTGGGAACGAGCACACAGCACAGCACAAAGCTATTTTCAAATTGGAAAGGTTTTGCACTTCGCCAACGCAGTCAGCTCTCGGTAATTCTTTTTGTTCGCTTTGTTTGCGGCTTCCCTGCCAACGTCGTCGCCATCGCCGTTGCTGCTGCTGCTGTTACAGCCAACTTCTTTCTCGTTAGTTTGTTATTTTAACTATTATATCAATTAGTTTCAACGTTTGACGGCTCCGCCAGCCTCAGCTCATTGTGGCCGCGGCTGCAGCTAGATTGTGGATGGAAGGAGGAAATGAAAATGGGAAAACAAGAGGAAGGTAGAGCAGCGGCAAATACGAAGTTCGAGGTTAAATTTTGCGCCGTTGCAATTCACTGCGCTTGGCTTTCACGCTGGGGTTGAAACTCTCAAAGTGTCCGTGTCTATGTGTATGTGTGTGTGTCCGTGTACCTACAAATAGCAGCACTCTCATTTTGAAAATATGTAAATAACACAACAATCGTTGCTTTTTTTTATTGGCCTTCCAGTGCGTTGGCATTTCAGTAGCGTGAAGAAGGAAATAGCGATCAGGGTTGAAAGGTGTTCCGGGCCTCGTTTGAGAGCGGCAACTGAAATTATACTTGGAGAAATTTAAATGCGGCAGGTGTTACAGTTAGACGCACTGTTAGCTGCGTCGCTTGGCAGCACTGGCTAAAAGAATAATACAAAAAAAAATAAAAAAAACAATGAAAAGTTTTTTTTGGTTGGCCTAGGTTTCAATGCCCTTGCAGAGCAGACAGAAAACAAGTTTTCACTATGATTTGAATTCTAAATATTATTATTTTAAATTATTCGACATATTTGTTATATATATTATTATTAATATTAATATTTTTTAAATTATTAGAAATATTTCTATGGAGAAACTAATTGCTATTATGAAATGCAAGTATACGTATATGTATTTATATATATAATAAATATAGACCAGTTTATATTCAGAGAGCCTTAATACTAAGTAATCGAATCGAATAACTAAGTGAAGTTTATAATCTTAAAAGGTTATTGGTTTACTTCACATTAAATGACAGACAGTGGAACCCATATCCAAAGGGTATATAAAGCGAAACCGTTAGTGTTTTCTCTCTCTTTGGTTCTGTCGTTTGGCGCCTGCGATTGCGACAGACTGCGCACCCGCAGGCGCAACTGCGGCAACCCCCTCGCTTGCTCGATACGTTCACACGCTGACAACTACAACAACAACAACAATAGTAGTAGCCTCAACTAGACTCACATATACAATATTTGCGTAGCTAGAGGCGTTTGTCAACGGGCGGTGGCAGTTACAATTCGGATTCGAGTTCGAATTTGAAATCGATATCCAATCGCGTGTCGCATGGCCATAAACCAGATAAAACTCTCACAAATCAGGCTACTCCAGCAGCAGCAGCAGCATCGGGATGCGGGCGTAAGGGGGCGTGTGAGCCAGCATGCATTGGCTTTTACAGTTGCTGCTGCTGCAACGGTCAAATGGCTGCAACTGACAGTGCCAAAAGGTCAATAACTCCCTTCCATCCTCCTCTCTGTTTTTTTTTTTTTTTTAGCTGCGGGTGAGTGTGCGCGCTTCTGCTTGCCATATTATGTGGGTCACGGGTCAATCATGTAATATAATCATTTAGAAGTATGTCTCTACATACATACATACATATATACGAGTACGTACATACAAATATAGTTGTGCTGTGCGACTGATTGATGCGCCAGACACAGCCCAAACGGAAGCTAATTGCTTTTTCCCCCGTTCTTGTTTTTTTTCCGTCGATAATAAGTTATCGGTAAGAAAACGTTTTACTTTTCATTTAGTGTTGAATATATAAAAAAAAATTTTACAAAAAGAAAATCATTAACTTTAATACATGAAATTTCAATCTTAAACCATTCTTTTCCTTTCATTCAACTTTATTAATATAATTAGTAGCATGTTCATTGTTATCGATTCATGGTATTCCCATAAAATGCTTCTTATGACCAAATCATGTATTTAATGTCTTTGCACATTGCAAAAGTAAATGCGTTTTGGCTAATTGACGTGTCCCGATGGCAGCTGCTCCTGGCTCTTCTCTTTGTAATGGTCTCTTGGCCATGTTTTCGCTGTGTGTATTGACCCAACTTAATAGACGAGCATGAAATCTAGTCACGAACTTAATCATGAACAACCGTGCACTAGATCCATGTTCGCCGACAAAATAGAGTCAGAGAAGAGCAAAAAAAAGAAATATCAGGCAGCAGCTGCAGTAGAGACCTCCCTCTCTCTCCTTCTCACTTGGTCGCTCTCTTCATGCATTTGATCCATCCCATGCCATCCTGCAAGCAATGATTATTGCTAGTGCACGACTTTCTGTGGCATTTGACTGGCGAGCTTCCTCCCGCTCCTCCTTAACATTCACCTTCTCCTGGGCCTCTGGTGATCGGTGATTTTCCTAGTCTTATGGGTTTGGCTCGGTTTTTCGGTCACTTTTCGGATATCACTTCGTTCAGTTTGCTCGTGCCTGGCAACACAATTTCAATTGGGGCTCGTTTTGATCGGTTTTCATAGCTCAATTGGCTGTCAGCCCCCTCCGATTCCTCCCTTCCCCATGCCCACTTCTTCTGTCGGGCGCTTGCTTTTTGATCCCAAGCGTATTGTATTTACATTTGCATTTGTATCTGTGTGTGTCTGCGATATGAATGAATCAAGCTCGAAGCTTCGAATTAAGGTTTATTATTTTGATACCCTATTTCACAAAGTAATTTTGAGTATATTGGCTATTGCCTAGGGATATACATTGCGCTTAGAAATGTATACTGAGATATATTGTCTTCAGATAAAGGCGTCTTTGAAGCAATAAATATGTATATAGGAATATATCTAGTTGATTCCTTGCTCTTATATACATCTAAATTCAAGATTTAGTTAAATTTACTTTTGTCTTTAGTAGGGTATTTTGCAGTCGTGTCTTATCACCGATTCCTTGCCTTTTCTGCTGATTTATACAATAATTTTTGCACCCGCCTCATGCCTCATGCCCTATTCCGCTCTGAAAGCCATCGTCCGATTGTTTAAGATTCGTGGCGTCGTTGCAGTTTGAATTTCTGCCCGATCTGCACAAAAGTTTTCAGGCCACACAATTCTACGGAAATTGCTGTTTACTCAGACACTAGTTGTTTATTTGTCAACTAAAATATATAGAATACGAAAGAAACAAAGGGAGAGCCGGAGCGAGTTCTAGTTTAAAAACTATGCGACACTTTAGGGAAACAACAAACTTCCAAGAAATTTTAGCAATTTGTTCCGGTAGCAAAATTAAAGTAATAGAGAGAGAGAAAGAAAGAAGGAAAGAGAGACGAGAGAGCTAAAGAAGAGGGCGCTGTCTGTCAGAAATCTGAGCCCTAGCTTCGACTGGCACTACTAAAGTATATTGAACTCTTTGCCACTTGAGAGGAAAATCTCATTTAATTTATGAATACCAGAAAAAGCAAATATGATATTTATATTTTAAGATCTGACACTATTACTACATTTAACATAATGAAATCTACTCAAATTTTGTATTGTATGAAATCTTGTACTTAGTATTTGTTTAAATGGAAATCTTTTGGAGCACTTTTGAGCACTCAAATTTCACAGACCCACTTGAAATATTCCCCATTTCGTTCAGCAACCGACACTTAATTTCAGAGCATTTTCCATTTTCTCTGAGATATATAAAAGTGCCATTGTTGCATTAATTTTGAGCTGATTTTTCACAAAATCATACACATTAGTGTTAATTTAGTGCGTATAATTAAGTCCCAGAAAACCCCTTGGGAAAGAAATCAACATTGTTTGCACCCTTCATTCACTCTCTTTCTTTGCGTCTCTCTCTTCAACATTTGTTCTTACAGCTGCTAGAACACAATTCATTTCGTTCTGTTCGGTTGACTTTCTTTATTCGTGTGCGTGAGCGTAGAGTTGACTAATTACCTTGTTCGAAAACCCAAAAAAAAGAAGGAAAATAAATAAAATAAAAACGACACGATCGGGTGCAAACGACTGCGTCATACTCTGTTCAACAAATTGCATCGACATTATCTTTTCGACTGCAACGTGAGGGAAAAGATCTTGTGAAGACGGAAGTGGTTGTGCCCATTAGAGCTATCTAAATATTGCTTTTTACTTGACATTTATCAGGCGTTCTCACTTCCGTTCTATAAATCTAATATTTTTTTAAATAATAAAGTACAGAGAGCTTAACCCATCGCTTGATTAGATTCAAATATTTCACGCAGATTGAACTACCGTTTTTAATGAGTGTGGATCTAGTCACAAATACTTAAGCAAACAATGTGAAACACTGGACCCTCACTCACTAAAAACAGTAGTACGTATTTCCGATCAGAACCGTTCCATTTAGATAGTCTTACCATTTTCGGGGCGTCCACTTACTCAGCTCTCTGGCATGTTTTATTTTGATTTTGATTTTTTTTCTTTCATTATTAATTTAAATTACTAAGCGATAGTGCTGAATAAAGTCGAACAACAATAACAAACCACGCTGCTGCCAGTTTTCGTATTGATAAGAGCGACAACCAAATCAGTTCTCAGTTCTCTGCTATGCTCTAGGCATTACGACTCTTATCAGCAAATGAGCTACGCACACGTATGCATATGCATTTGCATTTGATGTGTATGTGTAAATACATTTTGTTCGCGCCTAAACAAAAAGATCGTTGACTTTTGAAATAAAAAAATAAATAAAAATAGTTTGTCGTAGTGTGGCAACGCCACGAAAGAACCGCTTATTTGCAAGCAGAAAAAATATTGAGAGCGCACATTTATATACGTGCTCTGTATGTATACATACCTATACATTCATATACACAAACACAGAGATCAACACATGCAAAAAGCAAAGCTTACACACGCGCACAGCAAAGCAACAGCAAACACTGGTCTGTATGCACGTATTTGTGAGTAACGATGGCTGCGCTGATGGCTCAAGTTGATAGCAGCAGTTGTTTTTTGTTCTTCCTCTTCTTGTTGTTGTTGTGGCTGCTACTGCTGCTGTCGCCGCTGACGTCGCTGCTTTTATTTCTCGAGTATGCCTTGTCTTCGCCGTCGATGTTGTTCTTGTTGTTTTGTGGTCTCTTATGGCTGCCACGATTTGAAGAAGTATGGCGAATTACATACACGCATACACAAACACATTCAAACAAGCACGCACGAGGGCAAAAATTCAACTGACTATTCAGCCATGATATTTGCCAGCCGCACAATTCGCCGCTGTCGTTGTTGCTCCCTTTTTGTCAATTTCATTTCGCAGATTCAGTTTTATTAAATTGTTATTGAAATTAAATCATTTATAATTAGACGGCTAGCCGACTGATCCAACTGTAAACGCTTCGTGCATCCGCTCATTATTTCGGTAAAAATGATGATGCCCATGTGTGCATGTGTGAGAGTGTGCGAGTCTGATGTCTCTGTGTGCGTGTCACTCGTCGTGTAATCAACGGCAATTTGAAAAAAACTGCAAAAACAGGCAACGCTCCACACACATGTACATTTACGTATGTTCATATATTTCATTTTGTATGTACCTCCAAGCACGACTTTTGCATTGGTTGTATTTTATATATTATATTCAGTTTAAATTAATATCGTACATGAAATGTTTGATGCTCAGATTGTTAGATTTTGTATTGAATTGACAGACGAACATGGCGGCCAGCTGCGAATGGCAATTAATGCAACAGGCCTCCACATTTTTGCGGTTAGTTTGAAATTTCGGCAATGTACAGTTATTATTTTCCTATAGGTAGCGTCGAATCACACATTGAGCACTCACACATTAACACGCACGACGAACGGGGAATAAACGCGATTTAAATTGAGGTATTATACAGTAATATAATATTACTATATTTTCTTTATGTTACTTGAACTGGTGTGCAACTTTAAAAGGCAAAATTGCAATCGTACGGCGACTGCGCAGCTTAAACGTAGAATATTGCACCAGGATTGACAACCACTCGCAAACGTAGCTCTTATAAGACTAACTCAAAGTTAAGCCACAGACATACTCTATAGCGCAGAGCAATGGCTCGCAGCAAAGCCAAGACGTATACATGTACGCTGAGTGTAGAGAGAATAAAGAGCGCGATAGACCAAGAGCGTCGCTTTTCAAATGAACGATCGTAGCTCACCAATACACATAAACGAAAGGCGTGCTGCCAACGCGTGCGGCATAAAATCCTATCTGATGTAAAATAATATTTTGGAATATTTTTAATAATGTAAATAGAAAAAGTATCTGCTACATGCATAATATAATATATATTTTTTACACTTATTGGAATTCTAATAACCATTTTATAATATGTTAAATGCAATTTTATAGAGTTGGCATCACCAACGTGGTGGTAATTGAACTCTTAATATACACACACATATAGTCAATGAGCGGCAGCCCACACACATACTCAAACACATAGCTACACAGTAGAATTTGAGTGAGTTGCGCTTGCGTTTGCGCTTGTGTGTATGTGTGTGCAATCGTGTGCAAATGATACAAAGAAGAATTATATCAAAAGCAAAAGAAAATAATGATGACGCAGTGAAAAAATTATATTAAAATAATTACAACAGCGCGTTCAACTTGGACTTGGTGAAGACGTTGACGTCGACTTCGACAACGAAGCGTCGCTGCCGTTTGCTTGTCGACGCGCGCACCTTTTAACTGCTGCTGCTGTTGTTCTTGTTGTTCTTGCTGTCGCTGTTGTTGCTGCTGCTGCTTTTCAGATATCGTTAGCGGGGTTGGTTTGTTAAAGAATAGTGAAATGCTTGGGAAAGGTTTTACAGTACGTACAAACAGAACAGTCACAGCAACATGCATGTGTTTGTATTGGGATAAATATATGTGCATACATATGTATGTATATATGTGCTGTACATTGTGTATGTATGTATGTGTTTGCATTTATCTCTACGCGATTTTATTTCTTGTTCTTTTGACAATTCTTTGCCAAAAGGTAGGGCGCGTCTGAGCAAGGGTTCGTGACGTCAACGCACTCGCGCAGCTGTTGCCCGACTGTCAGTCAGTCAGTCACTCAGTCAGTCAGTCATGCAGTCAGTAGTTGTCTTCTTATTGCGTCTCCTTCGAATCCGCATCCATTATACAAAACAGCTAGAGGGCCCTAGCGGTCGATAATTTTCCATCAAGGTGACACAGTTTGGAAACGCAAATTCTGCGTCTCCGCTCAATGAAACATTGCATTGTCAATGAAACATTGCAGAAATCGGCAAACTGTGCCTTTAAATATTTAATTCATTTTCCGCTTCCTGTAATTGATATGCACTCTTGTTTACACCTCCCACCTAAAATTGTCCACTCGCGTGGGTGCCGTTGCTAGTCCAAGAGATTTGTGTAAAGCCCCAGCAAAGTTCTGATCAGCACGTATGGCGAGAATGCTGAAATGGAGCTAATTGGAAAACGGTAAATCAATTGTCTTTCCAGTTGAGAATACATGTACGCTTAATGAAGTTGCGAAATTGAGGATATATTCTTTAACATAAATAAATAAATAAAATTTAGATTTATTTCAGATATGTTTATAAAATGCATCTAAACAATTAGAGTTTGGTCAGGGAATTCATTTGAATTGTGTAATCGATGTAATGTGTAAGTTAAGAAACACAAGATAGCGCTTTTTGGCCTCCTTCCTTAAAAGGTAGCAATCTATGGTCCAATCAAACTCTCAGTTCTTCCCACAGTTTGGCCTCATCCGTTAACCCAATGTAATATATAAAACGAGCGCTAAGCGGAGCTGAGCTGCTTCGTTTAGTTCAAACCCAGCCCCAGTCGTAGCCCCGGGATCAGCCCAGCCCAGCCCAGTTCAGATAAAAAATCACACACGCTGCACTGGCTACTTGTCATTGCGAAAAATTCGAGGTGTGTGCAGAGCGAGTGGGTTGTGTATACAGGTATATACATATGTATGTATGTATGTATGTGTGTGTGTGTGTGTGTAACCAGGCACAACCAACGAACCGAGCAACCATCGAAAAATCGTCGCCTGACCCATGCCAATGCAATCTCAGCTGTTGGAAATGCAATTGCCATTACATTTTGTATCTTGTAAATGTCATTGGCCATTGCCCAACTGCCAACGCGTCCGACTGACTGCCCGTCGAAATACACGTATCCGCGGCTCACTCACATTAAATTACATTACGTACACTCCTTTTGTTTGCAATATATATATATATTTAAATTGCGCTGCCACAGCTATAGCAAAGATGCGAGCCATCTAATGGCTCAAAACAAATGGCAAAGTTCAAACGAGGTTAACAGCATCTCAAGCTACAGCGGCCAGCGGGCAGTAGGCAGGAGCACTCCTGCCCCGAGTCTGTCCCAGTCCGAATCTGAGTCCAAGTCCGGGGCCACCAAAATGGATGCAACTACGGCCAAAGCTAACGCAAACAAAGCCAGCAAAACTAAACAAAATCAACGAATGAGTGAAGCCGAACAAAAAATATATGATCTTAATAGGACGATATTAGACTAAATCATACCCTATAGCTGATTTCTATGAAGATTTCCTAGAATGGAAATCTTGAATGAAATCTTTTTTTTTAGTTTTGAGGTTCAATGAGAACAATATCGTATACAGACTGGTAGATCGCCAATGAATGTATGTAGATCCCTATTCAATCGTAAAATCGTAATTCTTTGTAGGAGATTATTTACATCGGATATCCTGCCTCTAGCTCATTTAGATACAGTTTTCCTCTGTCTCCCATGCAATATTCCTTATTTCCCAGCCAGCCAGCCCTGATAACAGGGTGTATAAAAAAGGCCCAAAAGCATCTTAAACGACAGGCAGTGGTAACATGACCATAGTAAGATAGTTACAGCTTCAGCTTCAGCCTCAACTTCAGCTTCAGCTTCAATAAAACGACATGCGCACAAATCTGTGGACGTCTGCCGAAGTGGAGGCACATATAAAAACCTTTCTAACGATCGTTTACCTCTCGCAAAATGTAACAAAGGAGTCGGGCGAAAAGTTGCCTGGGCCAGCTTGGCCTGGCTTGGCTTGGCTATGACTATGGCTCGGCTGTGCGCTTTCTTGGCCGGGCCAGTTGATGCGGGCCAAGCCTAGGCCGAGCGCCCACTTCCTACTTGTTGCTCTCTTCGTGCTGCCAAGCGCTGCAGGCACTGCTGCTGATGCTGCCCACAAAACTTAGAAGCCATACACACGTACTAACTTGGCCAACGCGGGCCAAGCTAAGAATTTGATTTTATGCTGCTGCTGCTGTTGCACAGCCATAGTTGGAGCATGGCAGCTGCCGCTTAAGTTGACCATAATGTGTTGGCCATTTGCCCCTTTGCATACGCCACTGAGCCAAAATGCCAGCCGCCCGCCGCCTGACACTTGGACGGACCACGAACCGCTCACCTAAAAAAATACAGAAACAAAAAAATAATACAAAAAAAATAAATAAATAAAACGGCAACCAAAAACCGAAGTTCAGGCAAACGGGGGAAAATATATAAAAGGAAAGAGTAATAACCAGTTTTGTCTCCCAAAAAAGCCAAACAAATGAAGTCAAGCTGAGCTAAAAACAAGAAAACTAAAAGAGCTACACGAGTTGCAGCGAATGCGAAATACCCTGATGATTGGATGAATATTGTTAGATAGACAATAGAATTATGAAAGAGCTATTAATTAGATAAGATTTGAAGTCTGGTAACAAAGTTAACAAAGTTGGCATAAAACTATGTTGTAAATTTTCACTTTACACTAGATATCTATAGGAACTGGAAAATTATATAGTGAATTATTATAGCTAGAGATGTGGAACAAAAAGAATTGTTGAATTTGTTAAATTGTTTAAAAAATATAAAACAAAGTTATACCACATATATATAAAGCTAGCCCTATACTATAGATTATACCCTATAAAGGGATCCAACTAACGCCCACATTTGTGTAAGCAAGCATAAAAAATATTTCCTTAAAATGTGCTCAAGCTGCCCTCATATTAACCAAGTTAGGATAGTTCGGAATAGACTTTTATTAATAGTTCATCGATAAAAACTAGCTAGTTTTTAAAGCCGCGCACATATCTCATTACAAAAGTAAAGTACGCTATGTGCAGGGTATCTAAAGAACGTACCTCATGTTTACGAGTAGAAGCTAAAGCAAACTTGAGGCCAAAAACAGCGATCGAGCGTACCTCGGCCACAGATGGGGCCTACACTCTGCTGGAGAGTGCACAGGGAGACAGAGAGCAAGAGAGTGAGAGAGAGGGAGAGGAGAGGAGAGCAGAGCCATGTGCTGGGTCGGGTCGGACGCTCTTCAGCTACAGCTTTAACTTCAACGGCCATCATCAGATAGAGGCAGGCAGCGAGAGGCAACCAGCCAAGAGCCAAGAGCTAAGAGCCTAGTACAGTTGAATTGAAGTTGTGGCAAACGGGTATTGAGGGAGTTGGCAGTAGGTCTTGCCATGGCTTGGTCTTCGTCGTCCTCTTCCACTTCATCTTCGTCTACAGTGTTCTGTCTTCGGTCTTCGGTCTCTGGTGTTGCTTTCGGCTGTTGGCTGTGTCTCTGCAGCATTGTAGGAGTTTTGGCTACACAGAAGTTTAGTTACATGCTCATTACATAGATGCAGAGCGAGCGAGTGAGAAGGCGAGAGAGGGACAGATAGACGGAGAGCGAGTACAGCGAGTACAATGTATGTGGCCAGCTATAGATACATACAATTTATGTATTGCAGATACATAGATAGAAGCGTAGCTCTGGTACTTGGCCCGAACTGGCTTTGGCGCGGATGCTGCTGCGGCTACGGCTGCTGTTGCTGCCTTTCTAAACTTCTAGCTTTTCCGATGCTTATCGCAGCTAACAAAAAATAGAAGAATACGAAAATAAATAGAAGAAGCAGAAAAGAAAAAAAAAAACGTAAGCTGAACTCCCACAAAAAGCGAGCGCTGCATTTCTTTGGCCTAGCTTTGGCCTGATCCCCTCAGCTTTAAAGCAGATCTTTCTTTTCACATGCATAAATTGTGTACAAAAAGCAGCTTCTCAGTGCGGGGATCATTAGTTTTGAAATTTTTATGCATTGTATGCTCTGCTATATATACACACGTATATATATATATATATATAGCCTGACTTGTTTGCGATGGTGCAGGACTTGATTGTGGCCACGACTCTATAGTTCAGGCTCTCTTCCTGCTCGTGTAATTGTGAAAACAATTTAGACGAATTTTCCAGTTCAATTGCGCTTTTAATTTAAATTGCAGCAAACTTGGCTCGAATTGCTGTTGCAGTTGTCGTCGTCGTCTTCATCAATTGTCAGTGCTTAGTTTTCTTTTCCCTCTTCTTCTTCTTCATCTTCTTCTTCTTGGTTTCATGCGCGAAAATTTTCGTAGATCTTAAGCGAGTTTCAGCCCAAACTTGGCCAACTCGGCCAACTTGACTGTCAAATTTGATTCTTGGCCAAGGCGCATGTCAATTGACTACGTCTCGGACAAGACTAGTTAATTAACGTTCAGACAATTGATGGAGTAGAGCAATGTCAGCTGTTAGTGCCTCAAATGGCTTGAAGGGTTAATAAGCGGCAAAAGCACATATTGAGGCTAAAAGTTCGCACAAATGTTGCCTATTTGTGTAAATGAAACAATTATTGGGTATTCTCCCTAACTATTATTATCATAAAGCTTAACATCCAATAAATAGAAAATTAATAGGAATGCATTGCATATCATTTAAATGCAATTATATGGTAAACTATGGATCTTATAGCTGTGGGAGCGAATTGTTCAAGTGAAATAAAACTCATTTGTTTATAAATTTCTGACTAGTCTGCCAGCTCCATAAAATGTAGACATATAAACATTTAGCTTTTGAGCTTGTAAATTGAGTATATACATATACAACTTGATGTCAAATGATCATAAACTGTTATTGCTGTATGTTGAGCTTAAAGAAAAACAAAGTCGGAACATTGTTTGTTTTCTATAATGTTTAGTTTATCTAAGCTAAAGATATACTACACCCAAGACGTTAAGACCTAAAGACTACAAAAAAGGTATTTGAATATATTATATGTATAACTTATAGAATTTAGTAAAGTAAATTATTAAGTGGAAGAACTTATCAATACTAGATATATTTCTGAATATATGCAGATGAGATGTTGAGATAATATATAAAAATATGTTCATATAATATTGTTTTCTTAACGCACTTAATATTATAATTGTTATTAATTGTTATATTTTAAATTTTTTTTTTGTTATTTATAAATATTTTATTTTAATTTTATAATTATTGTTTAAATTAATATATATATTTTTTTAATTTATTATTATTATAATTTTATGTTACTTAATTTCAATTTTTAGCATTTCAATTATTTTTTATTAATTTACCATTTATATATCTATTAAAATTAAGAATAAATGTTTGTATTAACTCATTTTTGTTTTTTAGTTTAGAAAATATTTTTCTTCTATTTTTATTTAGGTAAATTTATGATTCAATATATTTATTATTATGTTTTTTATTTATTTATTCTTTATTATTAAATTTTTGTATTTGTTTTCTATTTTTGAACTGTACGAAATCCAATCTTGTTTTGAATAAAAGAATTTGTTGTAGTTAACCGAGTAAATATTTGCCAATACTTGAAATTAAATGTTCAATCTCTACAACTGTGTCCATTTTTTATTTCTATTTGTATTTGTATTTGTAGAATGCAACAGCTTTGACGCCTGCTTGGACTGGGCAAACATTTTGGCCATCTCGAGAGTGTGAAGAGAGCAGCGATGCGTAACGGCCTTTCTCTGTTTGGACATAGATTTAGGAGGCATAGACGAGGTGTGTGTGTGTGTGTGTGTGTGTGTGTGAGTGTTCTCTGTTCCACTTGAAGTTCAACTGAAGTGAGCAGCATTAAGTTTAAGAACAACAAAAATCGACTGCTGCTAAATTTCACTGTTTATTTCTTGTACTCGAGCTTGAAATTAAAAGACTATAAACAATCGTGAGAATGGCACTTGAACATGTTCAAAACAATAATGGCCTTAAACGAAATGTACAAGAAACAACAGTCAACAGGCGGGGCGGGCAGGTGAGGCAACGGGCAATGGGCAACTAGCAACGGGCAACAGGCATCAGGCAACAGCAAGACAAATCAACAAGCCGCAGTCGCTGTGCTGTGCTGTGTGTTCGAGCCAGAGTTAAAGCCAACAAACGGAGCGAGCCATTCAGCCGCGCGGACAGCCAGGCGGCTAAATGAACAGACAGTCAATCAACTTTAAGCAAAAAGCACAACGACAACGACACGTCGCGACGTTAGCGGCGACGTCGACAGCGACTGCAGCGGCGACAGCATCAAAGAGAAATGCGCACGCTCAGAGTTAGCTACAGCTTTAGCCTTAGCTACACACGATCATCCGTTGGAGATGACTTAAGGAGTGCGCTCCGAAAACTATTACAAAATGATCAAAACAGCTAAAAAGAATGAAAAGAGCTCAAAATGGAACAACAACAAAGGCAACAACATGAAAATCAAATCAGTGTGCGAACTGGACCTGAACCTCGGCATCTAAATGCTATTCTGGCTCAGACGGCGATCGTATCGGATTGGATCGGTTCGAGACTCGATTACAATAATTACAATCGGCTACGCGAGATTTACCAAATCACAACAACAACAATAACATTAACGGCAACACATCAACATCGGCAGCAGTAACCATATTGCAGCACACAGATACACAGATGCAGATACAGATACAGATAACTCAGCTATTACGTGCATATACAATTTTTATAAGAAATTGAAGTCAAGAAGCAGAATTAAAACAAAACTCATCAAGCGACGACGTCGAAGATGCAAACACACACACGCACACACACAGATATAGAAGCCAGAGCTAGCTAAATACAAGCTACAGTATAGGCTGGTTAGAGTGGATGCAAACATTTGCAGACGCTGAGAAAAAGAAGCCTTACCAAAAATTGAATATTAAATAATATAAAATTGTAATTAGTTGAAAATTGTAACCGATTTTTAGTTTTTAGTTTAGTTTTTTAAATAATTTTTAGTTTAATCAAATAAAATTTTTTCTTGAATTGACTAAAAAATATTTACTGAAGAAATATTGTTCGTTAATGAAGATTCATTACTGTATACACATGATATGACTCAATTGCTGCATGTGTGCGTGTGTGTGTTTATAGAAAAGGAACAGACGAACGGACAGAAAACGGACGGCAGATCCATCTTCAGCTTCATCAAAGCAGCGCAGCAATTTTCAGTTAACAGCTCTCAACTTTGAGCACAGCGCGCACTGTAAGCGGTTAGCTGTGTATCTGCTAGATAGAGTGTGTGAGTGTGTGTGAGAGAGAGAGAGAGAGAGGAGAGGCCAAGCATCATTGGCACAGCGAATCGGGCAAAACGAGAAATTGAAAAGACAGTTACAACGTCATAATGAAGCTAGAGGCTATGCTGGCAAAACTATACAAAATCGACGGCAAACCGCATAAAACACAAACACACACGCACACAACCACACACAGTCGTGATATTGTATACATATGTATGTATGCTTGTATGCGTATGCATAGGAGCTTAGCTTTTTGCAAAGGAAATTTAGCGAGAATAAAGAGCACGGCATCAATTGAAGAGTTTGGCGATTGAGAGAGAGAGAGAGAGAGAGAGAGAGAGAGAAGAGAGAGAGAGAGAGAGAGAGAGCCGTGTGCTTAGTGGACACAGTGAAAGGCGTGCGCTTGACAGAGCGTCAACAGTAGCGCGTGTAACGCACGCAGCGAGCATTGTAATTGGCATGCAGCGTTTTGCAACACTGCCAGCCATTAATAAAATAAAAATGTGATCTCGTTTTATGATAATGAAATACGTATGCATGTACGTATGTATGTATGTACATGTGCTCGTTCGTAAATTGCTGAAGCTTTGGGTATGCAACTGTTGCATCTTGATGCAGTTGCTGACACAGCATCAGGCATGCTGCAAGCACACACCAGCACCCCAACGTGTGCATGTGTGCCTTTTTGTATGTATGTTTTTCAACAAAATTTATTGATATTCATTGTTTGTTTGTTGTCGATCGTCGTCATCGTCGTCGTCTTTGTCGTTGCTCGCTGCCAACTGAAATCACAATTGTTGGAAAAAAAGCAAAGAGAAAAAAATTGCTGATGCTGCTGCTGCTGCGCTGCTGCTGCGACTATTCTTTGCCCGGGCCTTCACTTTTTCTAGTTGCACACATACAAGCGTTTCCTGCGCGGACACCTATGCGCATACATACATATGTATGTATGTATATGTACGTATGTGTGTGAGTGTATGTAACTGAAGCTTAGTTGCAACTGGCTTTTGGTCTATAATTCTTGTTTCTGGCTTTCGTGCCGAAGCTGCTGCTGCTGCAAGTAGAAAAAAAAAATACAGATAAGGAGCCAACGTTAAAGACGCGGCCCAGCATCTTTAAACAGGAAACTGCCTGGCGTTGTGGCTCCCAAAGGAAGCGGACCAGTAATATTTACATTTATTGCAAAATTATGCATATGCCAGTTGCTGTTGTTGTTGCTGCTGTTGCCTTTGTTGTTATTGTATATAAACCATGCGCCATAGATGCGCACAGTTTATGTTTAAATATAAACATTGCTGGCAATTTTTTGTTTTGTATATTCTATGCGCACCCATACATACGCACATATACACATGCATAGATACATACATACATACGTACATCAACAATGCTTGAGCTTGGTTTGCAATATGATTGCGCTTTGGAATTTTACAGTACTTTGCTTTTGGGCATAGCAAGCACATAGTACAGTGGCTCATAGATTATTTCTACCAGTCCCTTAAGACTATTTGTGCATCTATCAAATTAAAAATGAAAATTAAATTATCAAATTAATTTAAATGCAAGACGTTAGTAAGTTTATGCATTAAAAAATTTGGAAAAATTTTATTATAATTTAAGAACTTTATACCCTGGATTCCCATTTCAATGGGATCTGGGTATACCACAAATCCACAATAAGTGGTTCCACAGTTGACTTCAGCCAGTTATGCTTATATTACAAAGCTAAACTATTTACCATATGGATATTTGTATATGTATATATATTTACATGTATGTATGTAAATGTTAATTTGAATTCCCTCCAATCTGAATGCGATTTTGCCTTGCTTTCCAATATACTGATTCGTCTTGGCGTTTTACAGCACTGCCTTTTTTGGTTGGCTGCTGCGTCGTGACTATTGTTTTATTGCATGTTTTATTCAAATATACACTCAATATGTACTATATGCAACTAAATAAATCATGCAACCTTTTATTGTTGAATATTGTACAGATGTGTGTATGTGTGTGTATGCATATAGAGCCATGTTAATGCTATATCTATCTTTCTTAAAGACAAAAAGCGTTTGTAATTTGAGTAAAGTTTATTAGATCGTGAACTCATTTTGTTGGGCGGTCCATGTATTTTCGTGGTTGGCCGAGAAAAGCAAGCGGTGTCCCAAAGATTTTCATGGAAAGTTTCTGTGGTTCGGCTGTTGCTGCTGCTGCTTTCTTGTTTATGAAAATTTCACGCTAGTCGAAAGAATTATTAATTGCGCAGCAGCAACAGCAACAACCACCGCAGAAACAACAGCAACGAGCAACAGCAACAGCAGCAAAAGCAGCAGCAGAGCTACCAAGTGGGAATTATGCATCGCTGCGCAGAAGCAGAACGCAGCAAACACACACACACGCAAGCATAGTCTGTGCTGGTGTGCGTGTGTGTGTAAGCGCGTGTAAAAATATGGTAAACATGATAATACGTAATAAAAAATAGTGTAACAGAAAAGGGAAATAGTATAAAATCAGGTACAAATTTTCACCAAAAACCGTTTGCGTCGCTTGGCCGCAGTTGTTGTTATTGTGGTTGTTGTTGTTGTTGTTAAAGCTGGCTGGCTGACTTTGACGATTTGGTGGTCACACAGTGTGAAGAATGGGCTAGGAAATATTGTGTGCCAGCTCTGTTTGTTGGGCTGTTACAGATTTGAACAGATCTACCCAAGCAGATAACAAATGAAAGTGCCTGCCAGATCAGCGTGTGGATGGGAGCTGAAGGCGAAGGAGACAGAGACGGAGAAGCAGGAGTAGGAGGAGGAGTGGGCAACAGAACGAGTTGCCTGCTAACAACAAATGAAATGGGCTTAAATACATTTCGCTGTAGCATAAGAGAATTACGGAAAGTCAACGTCATTTGACATATGATATATTGTATGTCCACTCTGTGTGTGTGTGTATGCGTGCGTGCCACACATACGCAGTGTGTAAATGCATTATGAAGAAAGATCTAAGATATGCATTTGGTTTAAGCTTCACTGTGCCTGTGAATAGCGGCAAATGTCAGCTAGCAAGCTACAACTATTAAAATACAATTACAGCAACATCTGGGAATATAATCATTGGTAGTGTTGGAAAACGTTAAAATACAATGAAAGCAACGCTGAGCGAAAGCTGTGTATTCGAATGTTACTTCATTTCATTGAATTTTTAAACATTCAAAATTAAGCACTGGCTACTGAGGTCTCAGGCTTTCAAATGTGACTTAGCTGCGGATGTTGTACGTATGTTCCTTAACAGTGTTGTAAAATGCCACAAAGCGAAAGAGTCATTAAACTCTACAAGCAATAAATAATGAAATATGTATAATTAAGAGATCTAATATCTAATAATTATCTAATAATAATAATTATCAAATAATTTCAATTAAAAGCCTTCAAGCTTACCCAGATTTAACAACACTGCTGCTTAGTGCTGTAAAATGTGCCTTACGACTCAAAAGTCTTAGTCCTTAGTGATTTACAGCACTGTTCGAATTTGTCAGTGTCAATAGTGAAAAACAGCATGCGCTTAGATATGGCTAGCAAATTGTTAAATTTTGGCTCGAAGTTCTTTAAATCCTCGAAGAACTTTTTCAATGGTGCATATGGAAAGCGCAGCTCTTCGTCGATCAATGCCAGGAAATGGACTGGAACACGCCAGAAGTTGTTGACATTTGGGGCGCTAACTGGAGCCACCGGACTACTGATGTACGCCATGGACGCCAGTGTGGACGCGTCCAGCGATAGTGTGCATCCGGCTAAGCAGCAGTGGCCGCACAAGGGCTTCTTGTCGGCCATTGACAAGGAGAGCGTGCGTCGCGGCTATCAGGTGTACAAGGAGGTGTGCTCCTCCTGCCATTCACTGCAGTATATCGCCTACCGCAATTTGGTGGGCGTGTGCATGACCGAGGCGGAGGCCAAGGCCGAGGCGGAGGGCATTACCGTGCATGACGGACCCGACGAGGAAGGCAACTATTACGATCGTCCGGGCAAGCTGTCCGACTATTTTCCAATGCCCTATCCTAATGAGGAAGCTGGACGTGCTGCAAATAATGGAGCCTATCCGCCGGATCTTAGCTACATTGTGTCCGCACGGAAGGGCGGCGAGGATTATGTGTTCGCCCTGTTGACTGGCTACTGTGACCCACCGGCTGGATTCGCTCTGCGCGATGGTCTCTACTTCAATCCGTACTTCAGCGGTGGCGCCATTGCCATGGGCCAGTTGATATCCAATGAGTCGGTGTCCTATGCTGATGAGGATGTGGCCCCGTCAGCCAGCCAAATTGCCAAGGATGTGACCACATTTCTGTGCTGGACTTCGGAGCCGGAGTATGACATTCGCAAGATTCTCGTTATCAAGGTGTTCGTCATATCCGCATTTCTGATTGGCATTACCTACTACATCAAGCGCTTGAAGTGGTCTGCGTTGAAGTCTCGCAAGATATTCTATTTGCCTGAGATACAAGAGAAAGCCAAGAAAGCTGCCGAGGATAATTGTCCCAAATAATTATAATTATTGTAATCTGAAGCAACATTATGATACAACAAACATTTTATAATTCAATTATAATTGTATAATTGAATTGCGCGGGCTGAAACGGTTTTGATTGTGATGTGAATAAATGTGATAGAGCTGTTATTCAACAAAATCATCGTTTCAATATATCGATAGAATTTCATTGAGTCTCGTTTTAGTTCTTTAAAAGTCTGTTTCCAGCATAAAATCATATAAAACATAAAAGTCAACTGCCAAGGGTGATATTTATTATAAAACAAATTTATATAAATTTTTTTTTTATATAAGGCGAATTTCGTACCAGTGTTGCTGTGCAGAAAAGCGAGGCTGTAGTACGTGACAGGGGTGCCACCTATCGTATAAATGCGGCGAATTTTCAATAAATACCGGTTCGATATAAAATATTTCGGCGAAAACGTAGCTGCAACAGCTGATTTATTACAAACAAAAATAAAGGTATTTTGATGGCATCTGTCGATTTTATGAAAGCGCTGCAATTTGCGGCATACAAACATAGTAAACAACGTAGAAAGGATCCTGACTCCACGCCGTACGTTAACCATCTTATAAACGTTGCCACAATATTAGCAGAGGCTGGCATTAAAGATGAGGGCGTCCTTATAGCGGCTATATTGCATGATGTTGTTGAAGACACAGACACAACCATTCAAGAGGTGGAGCAGCTGTTCGGCACCGATGTGTCCAGTCTGGTGCTGGAAGTGACCGATGACAAGAGCCTGGAGAAGGACGAACGCAAGCGGCTGCAAATTGTAAATGCCAGAAATACAACAAAGCGCGCCAAGCTCATCAAATTGGCCGACAAGCTGGACAATCTGAGGGATCTACGCAAGACCACGCCATGTGGTTGGACAGAGGTTAGTTATGAGAGTATTTAATGGAATGTAAGCTGACTTAAATTTATTCGACAACTGCAGGAACGCCGCGATCAGTACTTCGAATGGGCCAAACTTGTGGTGGACAACTTGCGCGGCACGAATGCGATGATGGAGGAGAAACTGGACCAGATTTTCGCTGAGCGATCTCTTGTATAAATAAGGTTAAGACTGTGATCCATGACTGATTCTTCCAATATAATAATAATAACAATAGTACAACATGAAATGAGAATCGGTTTAGTTTTTATTGTTCTCATAGAATTCCAGCATGAGCTTGGCCAGCTTCTGCGTCTCCTCCAGCGTAATGGCATTGTAGAGAGAGGCACGTATGCCGCCCACTGACCGATGGCCCTTCAGCTGAATCATGCCTTCGGCCTCGGCTTTGGCCAAGAATTCCTTCTCCAATTGCTCGTTGCCCGTGCTGCTGCCAATGCGGAAGGGCACATTCATGCGGGAGCGCACTTGCCTCTCCACGGGGCAGTAGTAGAAGCCATTCGATTGATCTATGATGTTGTAGATGATCTGCGACTTGGCCTTGGAACGCTGCGACATGCCTGCAACGCCTCCGTTGGCTTTGATCCACTTGAAGACAAGACCCATGACATAGATGCTAAAAAAGAGGAGCTTTAGCTAAGTGGCTTAGCACTCTTCTGCAGCGCGACCTACCCGAATGTGGGCGGAGTATTGAGCAGCGAGTTGTTCTTGTCCATCAGCTCAAAGTTCAGTATGGACGGTGTGACCTTCAAGTGCTTGCCTATCAGGTCCTCGCGCACAATGATCACTGTGACACCGGCGGGTCCAATGTTCTTCTGGGCACCGGCGTAAATCATGCCGAACTTGCTGACATCAATGGGCCTGGACAGAAAATTGGACGACATGTCGACCACCAGTGGCGCCTTCACCTCTGGCACAAAGTCAAACTCAACGCCCTCCACAGTCTCGTTGTCGCAGTAGTAGACATAAGCGGCATTCGGATCTAGTTTCCAGGTGCTTTGCCTGGGCACTGTGGTATAGGAAGCCAGCTTGGGCAGCACCGCATTCACTTTGCCATACTGTGCCGCCTCTTTGGCTGCCTTGGCCGACCACGAACCGGTGATGACGTAATCCGCAGTGCCGGTGCTGCCAATGAGATTCAGGGCAGACGCTGCGAACTGTCCCGTGCCGCCTCCCTGCATCAGCAGCACTTTGTAGTTCTGTGGAATGTTGAGAAGCTCGCGCAGATCGGCAATGGCCGTCTCCTGGATCTTGGCATAGTTGCTGGAGCGATGCGACATTTCCATGACCGAAATGCCACTGCCATTGCAATTGAGCAGATTGGTCTGCACCTCTTTCAGCACCTATGCGGGAGAAATAATGAGAGGATTCGCTTATAACCTAGAACACTTTTATTCTTTGTTCCTATTTAATTGTTTTTGCTGACCTCTTCGGGCAACTTGGCTGGGCCGGCGGCAAAGTTGATAACCATGATGGCGATGATACTATTTCCGATTCACGAACCTCGTCGGTAAGTCGTTAAAATTGAACTGAAAGTGTTGTGGCTGGGCGGCAATGGAAGCGATCGACTCAGACGGCAGCGACTGCTGATAAGTAATACGAGCACCAGACAGAGAATCGCAACAACTTACACACACATTTATGTATATATGGCTATGTGTGTATAATAATGCAAAGAGTGTACAAAGACAAACGGGCAACGAACCAGAGGCGCGGTCTACAGATTCCATGGGAAACTGAAGCTTACAAATACTGCGCTGGCTACGCCACTGGTCAAGCAGCGGCAGCGGAGGCGAAACTGAAACTCAGAGAGATGCGAAGACCGATCAAAACAAGCTGACAAACCACAGCGAAAATAACACGCGATTTACGCTGAGCGTCAATTCGCCCCATTGTCATGTTGTTGCTATGCACTTTACTGGAAAGACGTAAACAAGTGCAAATGCAAGCAGTAAACAAGAATAAAGCATAAATGCAAGTACAGCAAAGCTACGCTAAGGTGGACACATCGTACAAATAACAAGAAATTCATACATTTTTAAATTAATACAAGAATAAATACAAATATTTTATTTATTTATATTTATAAATTTTCAATATATTTTTAATATGGTCGATACTCGTAGACAATATAGTCAAACAAACCTGTTGTTTAATAAGCTGCAATGACAATTAGATAGCGAAAAAAAATTCATTAGGATCGCGTTTATTTATTTAATGCATTTCAATTTCTGATTATATAACAGCATATTTCCATATAAATGTGTAAATTGAATAATATTTTTAAAATATTTACTTTAAGGTCTTCTCTGCCTTTCTATAGTGACATCAGGCAAAGTGCCTAGTTAATAGGCCTATCAATAATTTGTTTACATGTGTATCAATAATGTGCTTAAATTTGTATGTGTATGTACGTATTAATATATGTACATATACTAATGTATGTACATATGCACAAAGATTATGGCTGAGTGCTTCTAAGTTCTTATCATACTGATTCGATGATATCGTTACCGGAAATAATAACTTTCTCAGACTTGAAGTGGTTGAAATTTTATTTATGCTACACAAGTCTCAACTGCTCTAATTACTTTATCATTCATCCGTCCATTGATTTAGAACGCCTGTGAACTGCTTCAGTTTTCCAATTTAGTTCCAAAAAGCCGATGGCAAAGCGAAATTCCAATAAGATGCAGTCAACGTGCCTGGAAATTTAAACGTGTGCCTATTCGTGACTGCTTAAGTGTATGTATGTGTGTGCGTGTGTGTGTGTGTGTGTGTGTTTGTGAGCGAGAGCAAGCGATACGTACGATTGTGCATGCGAGTGTTAGTGTAGGCAGTAAGTAGTCAATGTGTGTGAGTGAATGGTCATTCATAAACGTAAAGCCAATAATTTAGTGTTGTTTGGCAAGGGGCTTGGCCCGTTTTGGTCTTTAATGAGGCTTGCACTAAAAAAAAAAAATAATAAAAAAATAAGGAAAAACAAGCAAGTATTTTGTCGTTGTGTACTACTATATTAAGTGTTTATGATTTATTGCAACATTTAATGTACAATTCTAGAATTGTATTCCAGTTGTTGCAGCCTATTGCGGTAGCGGTTGCGCTTGCACCTTGCCCACAATATCGCTCCAGAAATTGCCGTAGTCTTTCAGCACCGTGCCGCTGCAATGAGAAGTCGTATATGAGAGAATATGTTGTAATGTGTGAAACAAGTTTTCAATTGAGCCACAAGCTACAGATAGTCACAGCTAGATGAGTCAACAGTTTTGGCCAGAGATTTTCAAAAGCCTTTCCCACACTGCGCTACAAAAGTGCGAATGCTTTGACTTTACTTAATTTGTTAATTGCATGTTTATTGTTATTAATAATCAACGATCACAAGCTGAATGCGTTAAGAAGACTTGCCAACACTGTGCTACAGCTTTATGTTGGCTCTGCGACAATTTATCAAACACAAAGATAAGAAGTTAGTCGAAAGCCTAGTGTGTAGGCCCTTTCCAGTGCCGACATATACATAATTTATTTATCATTTGGCACATTATGCGTCTGTCAAGTGATAAATGATAAGCTGTCATGGCTGACACACCCAGACACACACACACACATACACATACAGGCACCCACTTGCCATGCAGCAGAGTGTTGCTATTGTGTGTTGCATGTGAGTGAGAAGCATCAACAACATTTTGCCGACGTCATTGTCAGCGTCTTTTTGTCGCAACTCTTTGGCTTCACTCGCAGCATTTTTTCTAATTTTTTTTTTGTTTGCCTCTTCTCTTGAACAAATCAATTACATAAGGCCTTTTCTTTGATTATCCGGCATTTTGCTGGCAATTATGTTCGCCTTTGCTATGTGGGTCAATGCGGCGTATGATTAATGAACTGGCCCTCTGACGAAGATGATGATGGAGCCCGAAGAGCTTAAGTTGAGCATTAGCCAAGTGCCACATCATCGGCGGCTTTGAATGGATCCTTTCTACTTACGTGAAGTAGACGTTGCCTCGCTTATTTTGGGGCGCCTTCCATATGAGCTTGGCGCCCAGTTTATCCCGGTTATCCGAATGCGTTATGGCCGAGCACTCGGGTATAGTCTTGGTGTTCTCGCTCTGCACCCATTCGCCAATCCATTCGTTCGAGCTGGCATCGCGCGCCTGCAGAAAGAAGCCACGAAACGTGGTGGACTGATGCAGCTCCTGGGCATAGATGACCACAGAGACTTGCTGGCCCGGATGGTAGGTCTGCGAGCTGGCCACCACCTCGAACGGATTCGTGTGCGCCGGCTGAGTGCGCGCCTTGCCATGATTGGGCTGATTGGCGCGCTGCTTGACGCACGTGTCGGCCGGAGCACCGTCCGGAAAGGCCCAGATGCCGGCGATCAGCTGCAGCAGGAGTAGTGCTCGTTTGCAATTCCAATGCCGATTTGCCATGACTATGACTATGAGTGTGACTATGCTGTTCCGCTATTCCGTTAGTCGCGCACGCTTCGCGTTAATCAAATATTAAAACTCTTGCGCTGACCGGCGGCGTTGGCGCTTTTAAAGCCTCGAGCTGTGCGTCCGACCAAAAAAAAGCTCATGCTATTGGCATGGGCGTCGCGCTGGCTTTGTCGCTGGCTCGGTTTGGGCCAACCAGTTTTTAATGATCAAAACGCCAAATAGTTATGCGCAGTTCCTTTCCTGTCATGCTCCAAACTGGGTCAAACATTAGTGCTTTGATGCAGCCGCCTTCCCCGACTGCTGCTCCCTCCTCCTAGCGGCCGTTTACAACTTCTCCCGCCAGCCAGCCAGCCGGCTCCAATGATGCAGTTCCTAAGCTTCAGTGCAAACTCCAGACTACTCTGACTCTACATGGCCCGTCGGGGGTTTATTTGGTTTGTTTTGGGGCGCTAAGTGCTCCATTACGAAATTCTATGCTTCTAATCGTTGCCCACTGTCGATGTGGTTGGCCTTGTTTGCTTTTCGGCTCAGTTTTGCGTATTTTCGTTTTTCTGTTGCGCTTTTAATGTGTTAATTGACAGGCGTTGCTGCTGCCCCTGCCGCTGCCCCTACCCTTACCCCCTGTCCATGCTTCTGCTGTTGTTGTTTTTACTGCCCCTGCTGCCGCTGCTACTGTTGTTGCTGTTGTTGATTTCATTGAGCTTTTGATTTCCATTTTGCAGCATTGGCAACATTTTTCGAATTTGGTTTCCTTTAAAATTTACAACCTGTTGTTGCATTTTGTCCAAATCGGCATCGAATACTAATTTAACTCACTAATTTGCAAAGAAGAGGGCTCGAAATAATTGTGCTTATCTATTTATAGCTAAGATCAAAAACGTGTCTTGTCATGATAAAAAAAAATATGATAAAATTTCTAGAATGCAATAGCCAATGTTTACGATAGTTTAGGCTTCAAAGTTAACTTGGCTGAGGCTCCAGTTAGAAGAGGATCAGGAAGAGAGATCTATATACTTATATGTATATAAGGGAGAGATGGGAAATAGGAAAGTCTTTTGCTCTGTGCTCTAATTACATATATGCCGTGGAACACCAAGGCAATGGGAATAAGTTGCTGTACTACTATTATTACCATTACTACTAATATTAGTACAACTATTACTACGCTTCAACTATTACTACTATGACTACAACTGTTGCTACTACAGCGATTACTGCTATTATTACTAGTTTTTCAGTATTACTAGTACCATTACTAAATCTTTCATTTCCACTACTATTACTACAACTATTACTATTACTACTAATATTACTATGCCTACTACTCTTACATTTACTACTATTACTATTAATGTTACTATGTCTACTACTTTTAATACTACCATTACTACTAATATTATTATGTCTACTACTTTTACTACTACTATTATTACTACTAATAATTTTACTACTACTATTATTACTACTAATAATTTTACTACTACTATTATTACTACTAATAATTTTACTACTACTATTACTACTAATTTTACTATGACTACTAGTTGTATTACTATTACTACTACTACTTTTACTTTTACTTACTTTGTTGTTATTACTAGTACAATTATTGTTACTACCACTACAGCTATTAGTACTATTTCTACTACTAGCAACACTACAGCTACTACTATTAACTTTATTATTACTTTTGCATTAGTACTACTACAGGTTCAGGTTCAAGTCCTCTTTCAATTACATTAAAACTTTATCTGGCAAACAAAACTATGAACTAAATGTTGTCCATTTATGAAACCGTATTTAGCTAGGCAAAACTTGCTGAAAGCTGAACCATTTAAAAGTAAATATAATTTTGCAAAGTTTTATCATTTGGCATTTGTGGACAGGATTGCGCATTTGTAGATGTTAATTAGAGATACAAATTCAAATGTGAATAAACAGTTATGAATGCAACGGCTATGTAATATGCCGAGTTTTGCATATCTGTTTGCCAAATGAGTTTGAGTCGAGCAAACAGATGCCGCCGGAATCTGAATCCGACTATGACTAATAGAGTTTGCCTGCTAGCCAGTTATATTAATTAAGTTTAGTTGCTTGTAGTGCAATGTGCTAGCTGGGAAATGATTTCGGTAAATATTTAAGCGCAATTGTTGAACTTTTTACTAGCTGCTGCTGCTACTGTTGCTTGTTGGTGTCTGCAAGGGTCAGTTAACCCGAATGCCCAAGCCGGACTAATCAAATACGAATTCGTGCTGGCGCCCAGTAAGTCATGTATTATAGATGCGGCAAATGCGAACTTTTTGCTCCCAGGCGTTAACAGGCGCTGCCCAGCCAGAGCCATAGCCAGAGCCAGAGTCAGAGGCAGAGGCAGAGCTATAGCTAGAGCTGTACAGTAGAGCGCATAGCAAATGACATTTGTGCCACATCACGCCCAAAGTTTAGCAAACACAGGCAAACCAAGCCAGTCAGCCTGCCTGCCTGCCTGCCAGCCAATCCTCAGCAGCTGTCGACCCAGACCCCATCCTCCCAGGCCCAGGCCTTCGCCAATGCATGCGAAATTGAGTAAGAAGCACGGCAAACGGTTCCCTTAACCGATGGTCGATGTAAATAGTACAAAACAGCGCACTTTATGAACGCCAGCCAGGGCTAGGGCTATCGGGGGGGAGCTGGCGGGGGCTGTAGCTCAAAAATCCACTTCATCGACGTTGGCGCGGAAAAGTGTGTCACCTGCAGGACATCAGAGCGCATGTCCTGTGAGCGCGCTGGTGAAATGAATTTATTCAACAATTCGACTTGGATTTGAACATGGCTTTCGTGCGAGTCGGCCAGAACGCAGTCAGACGTTGTAGCGCGTGGTTGTGCCAAACGGAAGACAACGCCAGCCATCAACAAAATCAAATAAAAGACAACAACCAATAACAACAACAACAAGAACAACAACAACGACTAGAACTAGAACAGCAGCCAGGCGAACGAGAAAATTGTGAGCAATTTGTAATTTTACATACTATATATTTTACGCGCGCGACTCCAAGTGCATGTGTGTGTGTCTGTGTGTTGCATGAGTGTGAGTATGTCTCTCAGTGTGCGTTTGAGTGAGTGAAGTCAGCCAGAGGCCGAAAAAGAAACAAAAGCGCCACAGAAATCCGCTCAACGGCAGCGTGCGAAAAACTTTGCTCTGTTGATTTTTGGCAACAAATCGAAAGAAAAAAAAAAAAATAATAATAATAACAAAAAACAAATGAACTGAATGCAAACAACAACAATAACTACAATAAAGTGTGACTAACACAAACAAACAATCAGATCAACTCAACGCCTCGCAAATCAGTCAAACATATAGCTATACATATGTATATATATATATATATATATATATTCCTGCATATTGAGTAAATATTGGGACATGTCAGTGGTTGACGGGGCTCGAAAGAAATCAAACGGAAAACGAAACTGAGAATGAAACTGAAAATCAATGCCTTTTGCGAATAAAAGGCAAATACATGCATGTATGTATGTGCACATGTATGTGTGCTTGCTTGCATGTGTATTTGTACGCTGCGTATACGCGATGTGCACGAAGGTACAGAAATAGGAGCCAGCAGAACTCAAATAATAATAAAGCGAATTCTCACGTGACGCATAAAGAACCAGCAAACACACACAAACACACACACACACACACTCACTTACAAAGTAAAGAGAATATGCGATATACTGTAAGCTTTAAGGCAACTGGCGCACACACACAGTCGCACACCTGGCTGCTGATTATGTTGCATACTTTTAGGGGCAGCACAAAAATGACAAACAGCAGCAGCCGCATTTTGCATACATTGAATTTAATGAACTTCGTATGTATGTTAGTGTGTGTGTGTGCTTGAGTGTGTGTGTACCGCATTTTGCTTTTAATAATTTAGCGCACTCAGTAGTAAATGGCGCGTTTAAAGCATGAAACGTCAGGCGAACCCAAAAGCAGGAACAAGAAAAAAAAATTGCCATTTAATGCCGCCTCACTAACGCTGCCTGAATGTGTGTGTGTGTGTGTGTGTGTGTGTGTTAGTGTGTTGGTGTTGCTGTGCAATAACAACCCCAGGCTAAAAGGCACACTAACACACTTTAGCCAAACTCTGTTACTGAGGACTACGTCATCCTAGCCAGCCAGCCTGGAGCTGCCTTTGGCAACGTCGCGTCGTCACATTTGCGCATTCACAATCACATCGCGTGGCATAGGCCTGGCCTCAGCACACACACACACACACACTCATTTGTGTGTGTGTGTGTGTGTGGCATGTGAAGTTATACGTACTCGACCCGGGGCTTGGATCGATTTGGGATAGACATTGCGGCAGCTGCTGCAGTTGCACTTGCCACATGCCACTTGGCCATCGGGCTGCAAGTATCTGCAGCCGTCGTACACGTCATCAATGGCAATATCAAATCGAACTTCAGCCCAAAATGCCCCGACTATTGACAATTTCCTCAGCAAACAGCAAATGCCGGCGGCATTGCTGCCTTTGCTGTTGCTGTTGCTGTTGCCTTTGCCGTTGCTGTTGCTGTTGCTGCTGCTGCTGCTACTTTAGCTTGTTGGTGTTGCCAAGTGTTGCAGTAAATTTTGACATTATCAACAAACCCAAAAAAAAAAAACAAAAAAAAGAATATAAAAGGTCTGACCCTTGACCTTAGTCAGGGGCAACAGCATATGTCAGCCCGCTGGATGCTATGGCTTAGCATTCGCTTTCGATTTCCTTGCAAAATTATTTGCCATCAAATCGCATGTCGCCTGTTTAGCTGGCAGCCCATATCCTTGTCGCAGAGTTTGCGTTTATAATTTATATTACTTGTTCGTTGCCATTGTTTCAGCTGTGCTTGGCCTTGTCTAGATGTCTGTATGTTTCGCTCTTTGTGTGTGTACGAGCGAGTTTGCATGTGTGTGTGTGTGTGTATCTGAGACCTTTAAGTATGCCCAGTGGCATTTGGCGCTCTGTTGGCCCCGGGGACGGATTTTAGGCTCTTTTATGACTATTAAAATATGCATTTAAATATATATCCTCTTATGCCTCTTTATATATATGTGAGTGAGTGTGTGTGTGTGTGTGGCATACGCCTCTGTGTTGAAAATTGAAATTGTGCGGTTATTTACTGAACGTCTTGGCGTTGATTGCCGTTACGCCCCATTGCCTGGTACATGACTATAATAATGATTGCAATTTTATGACCTAGCCAGGATAAACTGCCGTCGGCCGACAAAATTTTGCTCTGCCCTCGTCCATCAATCCTTTGCCTGAGCTCTCTTGAAGCGCTTTCAAGTCCCAAATGTTTCAGCTGAACTTATAGCATAGATTTTAGATAAATATATTTCTTACAGATTTAAAAAGAGCTGAATCTTTTATAGAAATGGCTGACAAATTAACGAGCTTAGGAAACGAATTTCACTTTAGCTAAACGAAGTTTGAAAGGTCAGAGCTTCGATCTATAAATTTATATCAATGCTGTCATCATTTGATATTATCTTAGAAGTCTCACAGGGCTAAAACATTTAATTTTATTTAAACAGAAAAATTGGTTTGTTGAAATAACTTTATTCGACTGAAGTTTTCCTTTCTATATATGATAAAAAGCGGGGTTTTTGTTTAACTGTATTCCAAAAATTATATTGCTTGCATTTTTATATACATTTTAGTATAATTTTTCATTAATAATAATAATATCCTTAATAATTTTTTTTAGGTTTCTTGTACAATATATGAAATGCTAAATGTCTGATCTTTGCATTTTTATATAATTTATCATATGTCGAAAGCTTAACTTCCAATTTACTTGATAAAGAAATATAGAAGAGAGAGAGTTGAAGAATTTTAAATCTATATGAATATAGCTAATATGAAAATGAATTCAGAATATGACCATGATTTCCTCATTATGCAATGTATTGTACATATGTATATTCTAAATCCATTTTCATGAAGCTACATATATGCAGCTATTATCAATTCTTCAACTCTCTCTCTCTTTCTCTCTCTCTCTAGCAGAAACCTTTTCAATTTTATACAATTATCAAGTGATTAATTGCTAACAATAAAGCATCAAAGATGCCCGCCTATGCAGGTGTTCACCTGCTCTTGTTATGCTTAGTGGCAAATGTGGCGGAAAATAAAAGAAAGCCTCGCTGGCTAGACCGCCCCCATTGAGGCTGCTTCCCAGATGTTGTTTGCACAACAGCTTTAATTAATTAGCCTATGTTGATTCTGTAAATTGTCTCGGTTAGGTGTTGCCGCAGCATGCCACATTGTGTGGTAGCACTAAGTGACTATGTGTGTGGCTGCATGTGCCTGACTCTAACTGAGACCGGGACTTAAAGTCAATCCAGCCTGTCGCTCGGCCCATTTGCCTGATGACACAAAAACCACTTGAACTTTGCTGGTAACTGGCGTTCGAGCTGTGCTCATTATGCCCCCACTGAAATGTGTGTTAGTGTGTGTGTGTAGAGTGAGAGAGTGCTGCACGTGTGGAATATTAAAGTCAGCGCTGTTTTTAGGTCAGCAAATGCAGATGCCGCCAACCAACTATTGTGTCTGTGTGAGGGTCTCTGTTTAAGTGTGTGTGTGTGTGTGAGCCACGAGGTGTTTTATGCGCAATTAAAATGACAAACTGTTGTTGCTTAGCCGCAGCCATTCTATGTATCCCTAGCTTCCTGCCAGTGCGTGCTGCGTAGCCAGAAACAACTGAATTGGTTTCTACATGGATTGGCTATGCCAAGGGCGGAGCAACATACGCGCATTACGGGGGCTGTCATGGGCTGGCGGGCAAATGCATTAGCATTGCTCATAGAGCACGGCAAATGTGTGAATGCAGTTAGCTTGGAGCACATAAAGTCAGCCACGCCCACTCTGGCAACGCCCAGGGCGCAGTAGATGTAAATATTGTAGAGCGCAACAAAAAGCCACACGAACACGTGTTCAACTAACGTTCGTACATATATATATATATCTATATATGCATGTATATATGTGCATAGACCTTAAAGCCAGGTCAGTCAGTTTGGCAAAGTGCAATATAAATGCCGCATGGCTGGGCCTTTGAATTGCCAGTGTGCGCCGCATGCGAAACGACCGAGCGAGCGAGCAAGTTTAATGGATTCAGTTTCTTTATGGGGAAATTGAGTTTAAATTGCCCCAAACAACGTCTGAGCCCGAAACGGATTTACAGTACTCTTGGCCACAAGCTCTGCCATTCGGCCACATGACAAACGATGTGCCCAACCAGTTATCTAAAGCCACATTAATTCTCAACATCAATCCAGTTAACTCCATCGGCTCAACATGCCCAGCACACACTCGATATGCGCCTATAAACATGTTCGTTGCATCGATGTGACATGTGCTTCGTTTTCAATTGTTTCACAGAACTTATCTTGCCATTCAATGGGCTGTTAAATATATAGACAGCTTTATTATTTATATTAAATGGTTATTTCAATATTGCCTTGACAATAGCACAAGGCAATCCTTGAGGGCTTGCTGTCTATGACAATTGTATTCAGTTTTGCATTTATAAATGAGATTATACAACAATAACCCGGATTTTCCACTTTCAATGGGTTCAGGCTACACAAACTGTTTATTTTCTTTGGAGCTAAAATCTAGCGAACTAACTAATTTTTTTATTATAGAAATACTTAAATCTATTTCGTGGGTATCCTTAGTTCATTTGACTTCTCAGTATGGTCTAACTGACTAAAATGTATATGCAGGATTTCTGAATCGTTAAATAGCCTCAACTACATTTCTATTAAGTTTCAATAAGTCTAGGAATTTTTTATGGAGTAAGATTTTATATCTTGGATAGACAAAGATTGTTATGATTATTAAGGTTTCAACAAGACTCACAAGCCTCACAGCGCTCGGCTGAAGAAAGCATGCAAATGCAAAATATGCAAAATAAGGTCGGCACTGATTTCGATTATATAACTCTAAAAATTAA